GTCAAAATATATTTATAAAATCGAACACTGACTGAGGGTATATATCTTTTGGCAAAACCTACTGATACTTTTTAACTTGTTAAGCATACAATTGTAGAAGGTATAATGGATATAGTTTCCAAAATTTATATTTGAACTCAATAATTTTAATAATTTTCTTTTATTAAATTTTTTATTTCTTTTTTCAATAACTTTAAAGTCGAGCTTCAAATTAATTAACTAAATTGATAATTTTCTCCTAAAAATCTGAATTATAAACTTCAACCTGAACCACGAAATACTTGAATTTGAAAATGCTCGTAAAATCTGACACCTTAAATTAACTTATTTGGATCGGGTAAACATAGGTGTCCACTGTTCAAAAATCAATCCACTCCACCCGTTCCCCCAGAAGTTATGGTATCTGAAGAATAAAATATTGTAAAATAGTCCTTTCTCCTAGAATATTGTTAATTATGTTCTTTGTACCGATACATGCTAATATATATATTTATTGGCAGTGGCAAATTTTTGCCATTAAAAATGAAATCTCCTTTTAAGTCATTCATTGATATTTACACACACATACACATGCGTACAAATTACTAACACTCTCATAATATGGTCTGTTTGCCGATAATATAAAACATTAAAATAGTCATATGCATGACAGGAAATTCCACACTTATACATACATAAACATGCATCTCATAGTCAGACGTTCGTATTATCATACATACATGACACACACACTCACACACATGCATTAAAATATTCATGTTAACATAATCTGCTACATTATAGTTTATGTAGATTTTGCATTGTTATGTGTGTGACATTCTCATTTATATGTCATTATCTTTAACATCTTCATCATCGTCATCATCACCGGTGTCTGGGTCGCATTTGGTTGGTGGTAGTCACACTTACACATCCGCATCAATATCATGATTATTATCTTTATTCCAGAGACATGCATGCCCCTCATGTGCATGAATTCCCCAAATGACTTGTACTTATAAATACATATACACATGTAAATATATGCATATATGTATGTATTGGTGTATAAATGTCTATGTGATTATACATTCATTATTTGTTTGCTGCATTGCTCCCTTAAAATGCCAGCAAGTAAAGCCTCTTATTTATCAAAAACTAACAAATGCTAATGTTAATCCTATAATGACTCGAAAGTAAGAAAAAAAAACACAAAAACAAGAAAAACAAAATGAACACACATACAGACACGAAGAAGCTAATGAAGCAATTAACAATTTTGTTGCAAAAACATAAAATGAACTTTAAAGACCTTTTCCCTCTTTTTCCTTATCCTACATTGAGACATGTATTATGATGCAGTAAATTTCGTTTATAACGAATATAACAAAAACATTTTCAAACATTTATGATTATATTTAAAGAGGCCATTTCTGTATTTAATCCTAAACATAGTAGTACTTATCTTCGGTTTTTTTAAAGGAAATGTATAACAGTCGAAAAAAAATTAAAAAACTCAAATTTCTCACCAAAAAATATTTGTTTTTAGGTTAACTACAGTTAGGTTGGTTGAATGGTTTTCTCTTTTAATTATGACAGTTATCTCTTATATTATAGTTTTATAAAGATCATAATTATTGGTCTCTTAGCTATTGTTATAAACGAAATTTACAGTAATTTCTTAATGTAATCGACGATTGGAAACATTTGACCAATGCAATGAAAGCTGTTCTATTCCGACTTAACGCTTGAAAGTCTATACTTTATATACCGCCAGCCATATGGCTACAGAGGGTATATATCACTTGATACGGCCAAAACGAAGATGGACAATATCGGTCTACTTCTTCTGGTACCTCCTTTACAAAGGGTCAAAACTTTCAAAAAATATTTCACTGCATAAAAACAGAAAGAATTATTCGATTTTATCCCAACTTTGCAAATCCTAATATTTGCATAAGTGCTAGGTCAGACGAGAAAATTGACAATATCCGTGCACTCCATCAAGTACCTACCCCACAAAGGGTCAACATTTTGAATAATTATAACTCTTATAAAATTACACACATCACAATATTTTTATTAACCCATGTTCTGGTGTGAAGATGGAATACATCGGTCCTCTCCTTCTGCTACCTCTCCAACAAAGGGTCAAAATTTTGAATATTCATGAAGCTCGTGAAACGCGAAATTATCATCAGATTCCATTCAGACTTGGCACATCTCAATACTTTTATCAATACAAGATATGTTATAAAGATGGTAGAGATCGGACTATTTCTTCTGGTACCTTCCCCACAAGAAAAACCAAAACGATCATAAATTCCGAAATTAGTATCAGGTTTACTTCCTATTTCACACATCCCATTATTTCTGCTAACGCAAGATCTGTTGCGAAGATGGGACATATTGGTCCACTCCTTCTGGTACCTCCCCCACAAAGAGTCAACATTTTTAATACCCATGAAGCTCATATAAAGCTAAATTAACATCCGATTTAATTCAGACTTAACACATCTCAATATTTCCACGAACGCAAGATCTGTTATAAAGATGGTAGAGAATGAACCATTTTTTCTGGTACCTCCCCCACAAAGGGTGATAATTTTGAATACTTGAAGCTCATAAAATCCGAAATTAACATATGATTCCTTTTAGGCTTGGTAAATTTTAATATTTCCATCAACACAAGATCTTTTATAAAGATGGTAGAGTTCGGACCATTTCTTCTGGTACATCCCCCCACATAGGGTTTAGGATTTTGAAAAACAAAACGCTCAAAAAAAAGAAATAAACATCCAACTCTCTTAAAATTTCGCGCACACAAACGTTTTTGCTAACACAAGATCTGTTGTGAAGAAGATGTATATATCTGCGAACCCCATCTGGGTCACAATTTTCCATACTTTTATCTGTCAAAACTTGCAAACCAGTTAGAGATTTCTCTCAAAATGATCACATATCTCATAGAAATTAAAGAAAGTAACCAATATAGTCGACACCTGGCACGTCCCAATATTTATATCATATTTATTTAGGTCCGATACGAAATGGACAATATATTGGTCCATTCTTTCGAAACCCACTTCCATAGAGGATCAGCAATTTGAATAATCATAACAAAAGTCAAAATGTATTTAAATAATCGAACATTGGCTGAGGGTATACATCTGTCGGCAAAACCGACTGATACTTTTTAACTTGTTTTCTGTAAATTTGAAAATCTGTGTGCCAGAAGAAGTGGACCGATGTCCACAGACACTTATATCACACTTTTTGTAAGAGGTATTCTTCTTCTTCCGAATATTGACCTTTTAAAGGTAATGTCAAGCAAGAGTGGGTTAATATTTTCCAAGTTTGTACCTGACCTAGCAATATATTAAGGTGTACCAAATTTAAAATATATCGCGTGCTCCAATCGCTTAATATGTGAATTTTACTTACTTTTAAAATGATAATGTTTTGTGGTGGAAAACCCCCGAAGGAGTGCCATTGATCAATTGCTCCCCCGGCGTACGACATGGTTGTATGTCATTAAGGATGTCCTCATGAGTCTATCGGGTAAATCGTGTCAGTTATATCGTCACGATTTGATAGCCCTGCAAACCCATCGTTTTTCGATGCACACGCAAATTCACCCTGCCTCGGTAAAAATATTACGATGTTTTTAGTTTTAGTTTTTTAGAAAAAATCGGGCCTCAATCGAGCCTTAAGCGATGAGTCATTTTTATTTTTTACCATATAAAAATATATACCATCTGTAGCTATGTGGAGGGAATTTTTTCTGACAAACTCAATATATAGCCAAATTGGTTTAAAATTGAGACCAGGATCTTTATGAGAAATATCAATATAATATATATTGAGATTTGATTATATGGGAGCTTTACTAACCCAGACAGTTGTAGTCGTTTTCAATTCCAAATCAAAGTCCTAATCAATCTTTAAAATGTGCTACGGCACTGAATCTCTGAGCTGCTAAACTATCAGTGTCTGGTAATTTTGCTTATCTCGGAGTTTGAGTCGAGTCATTTAACCTTTTATTACCCTTAAACTGAAGATCAACTTAAAACGCTCAAAATTTATTAAATCGATAGGTGCTACCATTTAATGTCTTGTCAAAACCTGAACCACCGAATACTAAAATTTAAAAAAATCTAGCATTTTTCAAAAAATTTTAACCTATATTATTTGGATCGGGTAAAAGTATGAAGGAAGGCGTCCACTCTTTTGAAAATCAATCCACTTTTCCCGTTCCCTCAATAGTTATGATATCCGAAAAATAGTTTTCCAGAAGTTATTTTTTGAAATTTATGGAACTGCTAAACTCTTCTTTTTTAAAAACGCCTTGCAGCAGCAGAGATATTCACAAAAGTCTCTTTAATATAGGCCCTTCAAAGTTATCCGATAAAACTAGACTTCTTCCGTAGTGAGATGATTTTTCCCATAGAAAAAAAAAAATAGAAAATAATCAGAATTTCGGTTTCAAACATTAGAGCGTAAAATTGTTTGATAATTATAGTAATATACCAATAGGGAAATATTCCTAAAAATTTCCTCCAAGACGTCCATTTTACAAAGATTCGAACATTTTCAAACATAACCTATTCTGATTATTAAATCCAGAACCTATAGAGAGAGACCTCAGACCTTTATTCTGCTATATTTATTATCAAAATGTAATATCTATATTCTACTTATAGATATGATTTGTGGTTGGGATCTTAGAACTTTGAATGATTAAATTTAAGATCTTTTGAAGCCTGCATACACTTATCTGAATATGTTGGTTTTAATGCAAGCGGTTATATGTTTCCAATCTCAAAGATTTCCCACTCATTTCTACCCTTTGTTTCCTATCTATGTATGTGTGAATGTATTTTATGCTAAGAACTTCTTCATAAACATACTTAGATTATTGAAAGAATACCACTCTCATACATTTTGTTGCATTTTCGTTTTTTTTTTCTCTTTCTCTTTTTTCTTCCATATGTTGTTCTTCTTTTTTTGTGCTTTTGCAGAGCCACATTGCCATTAACCGATACCAAAGATTTACTAAGCACTGAATGCAATTGTAGCCATAACGGCGGTAGTAGTGGTGGCGGTGGTGGTGGAGGAGGTGGCAGTAGCAGTGGTAGTGGTGGTGTTAACAACAGTAACAACCATAATAACATTGCATCATCCAACAACTCATCAACGACAACAAATGGCACCTCATCGGCAACAACGGCATCGTCCAACTCCTCCTCCACACCGGCCGCAGCTTTAATAAACTCCTACTCCTCATCCTCCTCGTCAACGACAACGACCACAAATGGCGGCAGTGGTAATGGTCCTTCGTCATTATCCTATGGCAGCGGTTATTCGAATTTGCGCACCACAGCTCTGGATGCCATCGATCTCACCGATAATCATTCATCACTGTTTGCCCATTTCGATATGCTGCGACATGGATACATCAACTACAACAATCACAGCCGGCCCATTTCCATTCCAAATGCAGCAAATGCAAATGCAGCGGCAGCGGCAGCAGCAGCAGCAGCCGCAACTGCATCCTCCAACGGCCAATTGTCCACATCGACTTCAATGTACAGTCATCATCCTATGGATAATTCATGTTCTGATCAAAAGGGTGGTAGTGGCGGTGGTGGTGGTAGTGGTAGCGGTATTATTGACCCATACCACGATGGTGTTGGTGGTGGCAGTAGAATTGGTAGTAGTAGTGGTAGTAACTTTGCCAACAGCGGCAGCAGCAGCAGCGGCGGCGGCGACGGCAACAGTAGTAGTGGTGGCATTGGTGGCGGCCACTACCATCAACATCAGCATCACCATCATCATCACCATCGTCATCATAGCCAAGATATTTACTCACCTTCTTCATCATCATTTCTGCACTCTAACAATTCTAGTTCGGGTAGTAGTGTTAGTCACTTGGGTGGTGGTATTAGTGGTGGTGGTCACATACATTCCTCCTCATCTGCTAACGCTTCCTCCTCCTCATCATCTTGTACTACTACTAACAATCATAACAATTGTGCCATGTCCAGTTGTGCGTCCATTTGTCCGAATATAGCATCTGTGTCCTCCTCCTCCTACTCCTCAACGTATATATACAATAATTACCTTCGCAATAATGGTTCCAATTATTTAAACAGCAATACGACCAGTGATGTTGTCGCCTCAACATCCTCAGCATTATCCACATCCGCCTCTGCCAATAATGCACCATCGGCGGCAAAAGCAGCGGCAGCCGGAACGGCCACAACGAATGATCCGCAAACAAGTAGCAATAATTTGATGAACTATAACAGCCATCATAACTGTGATTATCATCAGCATCATCATCATCATCACCACAATCAGGAAAACAATCAGGTTAGTAGAGATGATGACACTCTAGAAGCCTAGAAAGTGATTTTAATTTAAATATCTTTTTTTTCAGAACGGTTTGGAAGATTCTCCCAGACGACATAGTTCCATGGATCAACTGCTGGGTCTGATTAATGATATGGGCAAATCATCGCGTACCCGTAGCCTCAGTGACGGTGGTACTCAGGAAGATGATGATGAACGTAAGTGCCCATGGTGGCCTACATAAATTGGAATCCATTTAATTTTATAACCTTTCTTGCAGTGGAAAAAGAAGCCCAGCCCGATTTGTTAAACAATACACCTCCTGTGCCTCCCAAACGCTCCCACAGACGACGACACACTCCCCCACGCCCCATATCGAATGGCCTGCCACCAACACCCAAAGTTCACATGGGTGCCTGTTTCTCCAAAATATTCAATGGTTGTCCTCTACGTGTTCACTGCACTGCCTCGTGGATCCATCCGGAGACACGAGACCAACATCTGCTCATCGGAGCCGAAGAAGGTATATTCAATTTGAATATGAACGAACTTCACGACGCTGCCATAGATCAATTGTTCCCCCGGCGTACGACATGGTTGTATGTCATCAAGGATGTCCTCATGAGTCTATCGGGTAAATCGTGTCAGCTATATCGTCACGATTTGATTGCGCTGCACTCGAAGCAAACCCATCGATTTTCGATGCACATGAACAAAATTCCCGAACGGCTGGTGCCACGCAAATTCGCCCTGACCACAAAGGTACCCGACACCAAAGGCTGTACACAGTGTTGTGTCACACGCAATCCCTACAATGGCTATAAATACTTGTGTGGTGCAACACCCAATGGTATATTCCTGATGCAGTGGTATGATCCGTTGAACAAATTCATGCTGTTGAAACAATGCGAGTGGCCGGCCACAAGCATACTCGGCGGTGGTCATGGTTGTGTGCAGAACGGCCGCACTCCGGTCTTTGAGATGATTATAACACCCGAACTGGAATATCCCATTGTGTGTACGGGAGTACGGAAGGCCGTCAATGGATGCCTGAAGCTGGAACTCATCAACATGAACAGTGGTATAGATTTCAATTTATGCTTTGGAATTGTTACTTATTGTGTGCTTTCTGTTTGTTTGTTCTTCCTCTCTTTCTTGCCTTTTCTGCTGCAACTGTTTCCTTTGCTGTGTGTGTTGCGTCTTTTGTTTTTGTTACTGATCTTTCCCAAAAACCTTGATCCCCCCTTTATGTTTTCTTTTCTGATTATCTTTTGCTCTCCCCCTATTTTTTTGTGTGTTCCCACCGCCCCCCAAATGTGTGTTTTTGGTTTTTCATATTCCTTCTTCCGACCTTTTTTACGGGGGAAAATGTTGTACAAACACGCAAATACAAAACACTACCCGTACACGAATGAATATAGGTGCAAGTTGGTTCCATGCGGATGATTTGGAATATGATGCTATGGCCACAATGGTACCCCGACGAGATCTACTCAAAGTGGTAAAGGTCCATCAGGTGGAGAAGGATGCAATAATTGTGTGTTATGGAAATGTGATACAGGTGGTTACTCTGCAAGGTAATCCCAAACAGCATAAGAAAATGGTCTCCCAGTTGAATTTCGATTTCAACGTGGATAGTATAGGTAAGTGTGGTGAATCTCATAACTGATGCTGTTAATCAGGGTCAACCGAAACAAGGCCAGCCGGAAATGCATGTGTATAAGAAAATGGAAATATTCATACAAATGAATGAGTGCATTCATTCATGAGAAGTCCAAACACCTCGTCACTCATATAAACCGGCTGGTCAGACCTGATGTAAATACACTCCCATGAAATGGAGAATTAATTTCCTTTTTTATTTTCTTATTTCAGTTTGTTTACCCGATAGTGTTTTAGCATTCCACAAGCACGGCATGCAGGGCAAGTCGCTGCGAAACGGTGAAATAACCCAAGAAATTAAAGATATGAGCCGTACATATCGATTATTGGGAAGTGATAAGTAAGTGCTATTTTATTTCTTTTAAAATTTTCAATATCTTTCGAATCTATATATATTATGTCTCGAAAATGTTACATATGATGGGAGGAGATAACCTTCAAAAGAGTGGTAGGTAATCTCTCTCATTGTTGGCGTTTTAAATATAGTGAGGCCATATCACTTATGAAAGCTTGCCACTAATATTTAATACCCCCACCATGTAAATTTTATAATTTCGTTTGAACATCTAGTCAGAGGCCTTTTAAAATCGAGATAGAGCTCGCTTAAGATGGAGTTCGAAATTTTGCACAGATATTGATATCATTGCTGGGATGTTTAATATTGTGACTGGAGTGTATATAACGAAGGTTCCTCCATATTTTCGGTATTTTGGAGGTTCCTGCACCAATTTCCAACGAAATATGCAGCAATTGGATATTTGAGATTCTCAATATGGGTTCACTTTTTGGTATATCTCCCATATAGGTTTCCAAGTTTCCATGAAATGAGTCTCGGTGCGGATTAAATCGGTTGGGAGACTACGTCTTTTTCGTACTCACCAGATTTATCATCTTAGTCGCCGTAAGAGTACGGAACTGCGCCACAGTCTCTTAACCGCAGCATTTTATGCCACTTGTTGTTGATCCGGATTGTACATCGTTCTTGCTATTTAATTGCAATGTACTCCGAGGCAAAATAGATGATGTAATGCAATTTATGAATCAGAGGAAAATGTTGATGGTTTCGGTGAATGTTCAGTGAAAATTGCAGCCTACAACGTTGTTATGTTCACAACTAACCGGAATTGGAGGTGGGAAATGAGTGTTCCTATTCACCATTCTGTTAAATACCGACCTATATCACTTGATATCAAACAAGGAAGACACCTCTCGAATAGGTGGAGAGCATCACAGTTCTCCAGATTTATGTATAGAATCACCAGGCTTGAATAATTACTTGTCATGACAATCCGTCACTTAGCTTGAGTTAGACCATCTTTCGATAATCGTCTCCATACGCCGGTCACCCTATTGCACAACCTCTGACCGCCATACTTTCCCTTATCACAGGAAAGCTTACCTCCAGAATTCAGATAGTTTCCCAACCGTCGCTTCAAAGAATGCCCAACCCTTCTGACATTTCGAGACATTATCAAAGCTGCAGCGGCTTGCCTTATAACGAAATTTGGCCAAATTACCCAGCAAAGGCAGCGAGAAAGTACTAAGTCGTATAAGATAGGTACTACCTTTGGAACTGGTATGAGTAAGCTCTGGATAACGGTTGAATTGCTCTCGAACCTTGGTAAAAGGGTGATAGGAATGATCCGAATTGGTGCGCCATCCACTTCTATCGCTAATTTCTCAAGCACATCGAGAGTGATAGGTGGAAACGAAGAATTCTACGTAGCATATGATCGCTGCCCGCCGAGGTTATCCAAATGATTGGGTCCACACGGAATCTTAATGGATATATTGAAACAGCTGGATACTCCGAGTATTGGGTACCTGAAAATGAAAGAAAACTTGTCCCTAGCCCCCATATGGTTTCCTAAGCCTAGACCATAAGAAATACCTATGAAATCCTTGGGGACACATCATGTTCTAGTCATCCTGCAAACCACAGCTAAATGTGATGAATTGAAAAGTGGAAACATGGTCCTCAAGTCGCTAGCTGGTAACAGATAGCTTCCTCATGACATCGGTGGACCATCTATATGAGAAGGCAAGAGATTAACATTACCATGTGCTTTCGTTGCACATAAACATGTACTTTCATCCAAACCATCACAAGGTAGATAAAATTCCCCGAATCAGGCATATCAGGAAGGACCTACATAATCTATAGAGGTTTTTTTGTTTGGTATAAGGATGGGCAGAAACACGAAAGGCAGCAACTGCTTTACTCGGGGACCTTTAGTCTATTGTATTCATCTTAAGAAAAATATAGCTGTTGGTTATAGAAGAGATAGAGAAGGAAGGGTTTATAGTAAGGTTGTCTGCATAGGCAAGGAATGTTTTTGGCAAACTTGTAGATGATGAAAGAATCTATGTTTGAAAATAACAATAGAGTTTCTAAATCCCATCTATGTCTCTAGTTTAATATCATGGGACATCTGCAGGTAGGTGTTCAATCGTCTCTATCTCTTCTTCATCTTTACATAGTCTACAGTAGTCTCGAACACTGTTATCCCATCTTGAGGTCAGATCTCTGATACTGCAGTTGTCAGTCAGTATGCCTTGCGCAATTCATAGATCAGACCTACTGAGAGATAGGCCCAACACTATAAGTAGCATGCATATTGATGCAGTCACAGATGAAAAAAAGAACAACAGTATGAATGCCAATTTTGAATCCTGAAGTTAAAATAAGATTAGCAGAAATCAAGCCATTCATGAATAGCACTTATTCCAACAAAACAAAGCAAATCAGCGGTGTTTAGACATTTCGGCTTCTTTGTGTGACAATGTACCTTCCAAAATTTGATTGGGTTTCCAATATCGTGATATGGAGTCAGATTATTCTTTTGTTTAATCTATTTCCACTAATAGTTGCCCTTTCAGTAATTTATTATTATCATTATTATGATTGATATTATTATTGTTTAAAATAGAAAATAGCCTTTGTCATTTTTATTAATAATTTCATCATTTTCTTCTTCTCTTTCACAGAGTGGTGGCACTAGAAAGTCAATTGTTACGAACTGGTTCCTTGGGCAGTGAAGAGGGTCATGATTTATACATTTTGGCCGGACACGAGGCCAGTTATTAGAAAACACAAAACAATTGTAATGTTGTTGTTCAAACACAAAATAACAAATGGCTTATAAATTAGTATTACCAAAACTAAAATAAAATTCACTACAAACTAATTTACAAAAAGGAACACTTTCTTGAAATAATAGAAAAGTTTTTTTTTTCGAAAAAGAAATGACTTTGTAAAAAGCAAAAAAACATAGAGGCAAGTTTATTATTTATAAACAAAAGAAAATGTCTACTCAAACAAAATAGTGGTTATTGAGAAAAAAAAACAAAAAAATAAAAAATTGGCAAAGTTGTGCTAAAACTCTACTATTTGAAATGGCAAACATTAAAAAACATTAAGATTAGAAAAAACAACAATTTAGTATGTCTTGTAAAATTCTAAAAGTATTTTTCACTAACACAAGAGAAATTTCCAAACACTACCACAAAAGAAAATGCAAAAATGTAAACAGAAACTTTTTGAAAATATTGAAAATAAAAACGGAATACAAAGAATGAATTCTGGCTTCTTTGTTAAATTTGGCAGAGTAGATTTGCATTAGAGTAAAACAAAGTTGAGTAATTATTTTTTAACAAAAATCGTTAAAAATAAAATAAAAAACAATAATTAATAACGTAAATGTAGTAATGTAAACTTTCAACTAAAGGCAACAACAGAACATCCAATAAATCTACTCTTAAATTTAATCTGTGTATATTGATTGTAATAAAAAATAATAATAAAATTAACACTCACACCGCAAGAAAACAAAAAAAAAACAAGAACTATATTATTAATTCAAAACGAAATAAAATACCATTTAACGATTAATTGTATTAATTTATAAACAAACAACCAACAAACAACAAATATTATTTATATTTGTCAAATATATTATTAAAACTTTATGTTTATCATAATTATTATTATTATTTTTACGCAAACAGAAAAACATGTAAAAACATTTTTTCTTCGTCCTTCCTCTATTAGCCATTAAGTTTATTAATTATAGATTTAGCATTAAACACAGTGATTTATGATATAAATTTATAAATATATTTAAAAAAACCAATACAAAAAAACAACAGATTCCCCCCAAAAAACAAAAGAGAAACACACACACAAATCAATCCTTAATTTATATACATACATGCATACTGATATTGTGACACTTTATATTTACATACCTACAATACAAACATAAATTATTATTCAATAAAACAAACTACTACGTATTGACAAATATTCGTTAATTAATTATGATTTTGGTTGGAGCGGAAATTTTCTCATCGATTAGATGATAACCCATCAATAAAGAGTATCAACAAAGACAGAAGGCCTCAGATACAGTTATTGGCCCACAATCACATTTTGAGTATTCAAATATCGATACTGTGCTCTTTACAAAGAGAAAATAAATAAGTGACGATAAACATTTATGTATATTTGACTTCGAAATAAAGTTCTGAAAAACTTCTCTCATTCGATATCGAAAAAAATCAATTGAAAATTCGGTAGAAACGAACTATACTTCGTATGCTAGAGTTGAGTACACGTTGTTCTTCAAAGAAAATTATTTCTAATAATCTAAAATGAACATAAGGAAATTGATTTCGATCGAAATTCTTTCGTTATCCAATGCAAGAACTTTGCCTTTTTGTGGTAGTACCTCATTTCAGCAACGTAATAACTAGTTAATGATATGCTAACTAAACGATTGTCGTATTTATTATTAAATATTTGTTTGTCGCGTAAGGGTCCTACTTAAATACGAATGAGTACAGTTTTATTTCCTACTATAATTAAATATATGTTTTCCAAAAAAAGGTACCTAAATGTCCTTGGCGTAAAAAATGAGCAGTTTAATTATACACTCAGCCATATGACCAGTTATGGCTCAGGGCATATGGCTATTAATAACCTCAGCCAGATGACTAGAGAGAGTATATATCATTTGATACGGCCAAAACGTGTCTCATCGAAATAACGGTTTTAGACCTAGGTCTTTTTGGATCAAACCCGTTTCAGGACATTTGAAGTCGATCTAGCGATGTCCGTCTGTCTGGCTGGTTGGTGCATACAAAAGGAGTATCCGATTTGGTCCAATGTGTACATCGTAATATAATTATCAAACTTACATCGACTTCGGAGATGAGCAATATCGGTCCATTCTTTCTGGTACCTCCCCCAATAGGACGAAATTTTCAAAGAAAATATTTTATTGAACAGAAAGATAAAAGATTATCCAATTTGGCAAATCCTAATATTTACATCACTGCTAGTTCAGGTGCGAAAATGGACAATATAGGTATGGAATATATCAGTCAAATTCTCCCCCACAAAGGGTCAAAATTTTGAATATCCATGAGCTCATAAAACAAGAAATTAACATCCGATTCAGCTCAGTCTTGGTACATTTCAATATTTTCACCAACACAAGATATATTATGAAGATGGAAGAGATCGGAGTATTTCTTTCGGATTATAAAATCCGAAATAAACATCGGGTTCTCTTCATATTTCACACATCCCATTATTTCTACTAACACAAGATCTGCTGTGAAGATGTAATATATCGGTCAGCTCCTCTGTTACCTCCCCCACAAAGGGGCAAATAACAATGAAGCTCATAAAACGTGAAATGAGCATCCGATTCCATTCAGACTTGGCACATCTCAATATTTCTATCAACACAAAATCTGTTGTAAAGATGGGACCATTCCTTCTGGTACCTCCCCCACAAAGGGTCAAAGTTTTTAATAACCAAACGATTATAAAATCAGGCTTTCTTCATATTTCACACGTCCAGGGCCACATAGCGGGACAATACCAAAAAAATTACCTACAGAGAACACGAAATATCAAATTACAGCTATTTGGTTGGAATGTGGAACGTAGGCTCTGGACGAATTTTCAATACCAAACATTCCAGGAATAAAATCAAGTGTATTTGTAGCTCACAATGGGTTCTAGCTCCGGTGGCGGAACATAGTATATAGGGGTCTACGTTTTGGTATAGCCCTATGTATCGGTACCTTCCGATATTCGGTATTTTGAAGATTTTCGTCACATTTTTTCACGGATTTGTCTAAAAATTGGTATTTGTAGTTCGCAATGGGTTCTAGCTCCGGTGCAAAACATTGTAGGTATAGGTCCACTTTTTTGTGTAGCCCCCACATAAGGGTACCTCCGGATATTCGGTATTTTCATGCTTTTTTCCTACATTTTTGCACGGATTTGTCTAAAATTGGTATTTGTAGTCCGCAATGGGTTCTAGCTCCGGTGGTGGAATATATTATATATAGGTCAACCTTTTGGTATAGCCCCTATGTAACGATACCTCCCGATATTCGGTATTGTGAGGATTTTCGTCACATTTTTGCACGGATTTGTCTAAAAATTGGTTCTTGTAGCTCGCAATGGGTTCTAGCTCCGATTGCAAAACATTGTATGCATAGGTCGACGTTTTTGTATAGCCCAACATAATGGTACCTCCGTATATTCGGTATTGTGATGATTTTTGCCACATTTTTGCACGAAATTGTCTAAAATTTGTATTGTAATTCAAAATGAATTCTAGCTTCGGTGGCAGCACATTGAATATTAAGGTCCACGTTTTCCTATAGTGCACATACAACAATGCCCACCGAAATTCGATATTTTGAAAATCCTAGTCAAATTTACCCACGAAATTGTTTCAAATTTGGTATTTAAGAAGATTGATAGATGACAATCCTTGAAGTGTAAATTTGTCTATAGAGGTTTCCGCTTTGGTATGGGTCCCATACAACGGCCTCACCCACTTTATGGTATTTTGAAACACGTTTGAATTCCGATACTTTTATATAAAAATGTTATCTTTACCCAAAGGTGAATGGTATTAAAAGTTTTTTTTACTTATTAATAGTTGAAATGGTGCGGAAATCTTCATTGGGGTCAAAATAAGTGTATTTGGATTTGAAATTTTCAAATCATCATAAATATTAAATATTTGTAATATAGCCTTAAGTGACTTTTGAAAAAATACTTTCAGATATATTCCAAGATCCCGTTTGATTTACACTAAAAACAGAATGATCAGGTTCACACTAAAGCTTTCTATCGTGATATTTGCTTTTTATTTTTTCAAAATCAAATAAATCTTTAAATAATAATAATAGGCTCCCACGTTTGGTGTTTACAAATTTTACATTGTGGGTTTTTAGACTACAAATTTTTGTTTTGGACACATTTTTTAATGATTTTAAATAAGGCGAAGAGTGGTACTTTTGTTTCACAATTTAATAGAACTCATAATTTTTGGAAGTCCTCGACTCATATACGCAAAATATAGCATTGATGAACCTTTCTGAGTTTTAAAGTGATTAACTTTCTTTTCGATTAACTTATAACCAGGGGACACATTTTTCTTCATCATAAAATTTGTTTTTTTTATAAGAAAAGATATTGTGACTTAAATAAAAATAATAATTCATTACTAATTTAAGCCAAAATAGTATACTAAAATTAAAAAATATATTTTTCTAATAAAAATTCAAAAATTTAATAAAAAAAAACAAACAAATCACTTACACCACCTTAAATTGAAAAGAAAATCAAACCCTTGCAACAAATAATACCTAAAAAATTAAAAAAAAACAAAAAGTTTACCAAACGTTTTCTAATTGAATAAATAAATGTAATGTTAAACAAGTGCAACCAACAACAACAAACACAAAAAAATCTGAATGTATAAAATACAAAAATTACTTACAACAATAAAAACAAATAAATGCATTGAGAATTATTCTCTAAATTCCTGTCCTGTTATGCAAATCTAAAAAAGAGATGAACACAAAAAAAAACAAAGATTTTTAAATAAAACAAAATAAAAATAAGAAAAACTAAATTGTAAAAATAACTAAAGTAGTCCGCAATTAAATTATAAAAAAGTCACACCATTTCTCATGTACACACACACACATACACCAAATTGTTGCAAAGATTATTCAAAAATGAAAAGAAAATATTTAAAATTAAATTTCAAAAATTTACTATCACCAACAGAGGAAAAACATTTAAATCTAATAAATTTAGTTGTTAGAAAGTGAAAACATAGAATTCATAAAATCTTACGATATTGATGGGAGAATTTAGTAAAGAAAATTATTGTACGTTGATATGAACTGAAGTGAAATTTCTATAAAATAAAAAAAAAAAAAAACAATTATTAAAATCACAAAAAAGAAAAAAACCAACAACTACAAAAACAAGTTTTTGCTCATACTGTGTAGTATTATTCAAATTCAAAATAAGCAAGAAAATAAACTGCAGCAAAGAACAAAAACGTAATGAAAGGGAAACAGTAACATAATGAAAAGATTAATTAATTATTTTAAGTATGAAAGAAAGAAATAAATTTAAAAGAATACAAATTATAAAAAAATACCATATGCATTTTTAATTAAAAGGAAATGGTATGGTTCTTTAAACGTTTTCGATTAAGATTTCGAAGTGGTCAATCGCTACTAAATTTTGTCCAGTAATATTCATGCAATAAAAATATATTTGGAAAGAAATTTATACAAAAATGTTTATGTGTGAAATTTGAAGAAGATTGGATGCTTTTTTGCTTTCAGCGTTTTGTTTGTCAAAATCAATATGTGAGTGAAGTTCCAGAAGAAATGGTCCGATCTCTACCATCTTTATAATAGGTATTGTGTTGATGGAAATATTGAGATGTACCAAGTCTGAATTGACTTCTTGTGGGGAAGGTACCTGAAGCAATTGATTGATATATCCCATCTTTACGGCAGATCTTGTGTTAGTAGAAGACATGGAGGCCAAATTGTATCGGACTTATAATCGTTTAGATTATTCAAAACTTTGACACTTTGCGGGGGCGGTACCAGAAGGAATGGTTCTATCCCTACCATCTTTATATCAGATCTTGATCTGATAATTTTTAAAGATGTTAAAATTGGGATGTTTATTTCGCGTTTCATGAGCTTCGAATATTGAAAATATTCTTTTGTGGGAGGTACCAGAAGGAATGGACCGATATATTCCGTCTTCACTCCAGACCTTGGTTTAATAAAAACAATTGTAAAATCAAAATTTATGCGTCTCATATTTTCTCACTTACCTAGTTGAGAGAAATATTACGATATGCAAAGTTGTAGCAAAATCGGATGATCCTTTCTGTGCAGTAAAATATTTATTTGGAAATTTGACCTCTTTGTTGGTAGGTACCAGAAGGAGTCG